CCTCAAAATCAGGTTTTTTTTTTGTTGCTACTGCTCAACAAAGTACTTCAATTTTTTTTTTATGATTTATATTTCACAAAGTTCATTCAAATGAAACATTGATAAGGCATTTATTTGTTATATTTTGAAGAAATTCCATTTTTATTAGTGTTTTAATCAAAACACTGTTTGCCTATTTCATACAGTATACCACTTTTGGACTTAATCCTGGTTTCGATGTGATGGGTCACATATAATTGCTCTCAAAAGGAGTTATACGGTGGACAAAAGTAGAATTTTGCAGCTTTAATTTACTACCAAAAACCTCCTAAAATTCTTTTTTGTTGTGAAGAGCCCTCCTGCAGGCTGACGTTGTGCTTCTGCTTGGTGCCCGACTGAACTGGATTCTGCATTTTGGTCTGCCGCCCAGATTTAACGCTAACGTAAAGATCATCCAGGTATGAGAAATGATACTTCTAAYGCCTGGTGTGAAACCAGTAGTGAACCAAACAACATACAGTGTTTTCTGCGTGTGCTGCAGATGTCCTTCTGTAATAAGCTCAAACGGTAATTTTCTCTCTCTTTTTATTTTTTTTAACAGGTTGATCTCTGTGCCGAGGAGATGGGCAACAATGTGAGGCCRGCTGTTGCTCTCCTGGGGGACGTTAGTGCTATTACCGCACAGGTGTGTCATAAATAGTTTGAAGATTCTCCTTGTGTGTGAATTTTTTTTAAAGCAGTTTTTTTTTTTTCTCCTTTACTTCAGCTTGTGACATGTGTCCGCAAAGATGGCTGGAAATATCCCTCTAATACAGAGTGGTGGAGCACGCTGAAGGAGAAAATTGCCGCCAATGCGAAAATATCAAAAGTGGGTTTAACCACCTTAATGTATGAGAAGATACTTTAGATGTTCAATCAGTATTATTTTGAAAATATTCTGTATTTGAGCAGCTATGATGTGTTTCTTTTTTAACTGTTCTTGTTTTTTTTTTTCTTTCAGGCACTTTCTCTTAAAGCCACACTGCCCATGAACTACTACACAGTGTTCCACCACATCTCAGAGTTGCTGCCACATGACTGCATCATTGTCAGCGAGGGTGCAAACACCATGGACATCGGCCGCACCATGCTGAACAACTACTTACCTCGACACAGGCAAGGCGGAGACCTAAAGATCCACGTTCTCCTGCAGGGGATTTAGAAACAAATTGGTTTTTAAATGCAACAKTTTTGATTTGATTCCTACAAATCATCAATACTAGATGTTTTTTGTAAAGTTCTGTTTCCTTTGTGCGAATGCAAACAACTCCAAAATTCAAAATTATCTACAATAAGTTTTTAGTTAAATGAGTTACAACAACACCTAATTTCCCTCTGGGATCAATAAAGTATTTTTGAATTTGAATTGAATTGAATTGAATTGAATTGAATTGAATTGAATTGAATTGAACTGAATTCTAAAATACTAATTCCAAACTAAATTTTACCAGCTCAGAAACCAATTATCTTCAATGCGTACATCACTTGACAGTGTTGCTCCTCTGAAAAAGAAACTGCCTTTTTTATTTAGAGCTGCACAAATCAAAGCAAGCTTTATGACAATAAAGGAAAAAAAGGGTGTTCCTCTAATTTAGAAGGGTTTCATTAAACTTAGAGAAAATATATTTTGAACAGAATAAAATTTTATGTAGAATAGAAATAGCCATTATTCAGGGTTCCTGCAGATCCTTAAAAAGTTGTCATTGAATTCATCCGTCCAAAAGTAAGGCCTTAATTAGCCTTAAAATGTCTTAAATCAATCTTTCAGAAGTCTTAAAAATGTTAACACATTGTACATAGGATGATTATAATTCATCTCAAATATTAAAATAATTGGTTTAAGTATTTTTTTAAATATTTACATGCAGACATTCCCCTTTGACATCACTTCCTGTTATTTCACATGCAAATATCTCAACTTTCCATTCTGAGCAATGTGAAATTTGTTTTGTAATATGTTAATGTTGTTTTTCCAAAAATACATTCACTTTTCTTACAAAAAACTGATGTCTCAGGCACTTTAAGGTTTTATCTACAGCAAATTGGGGTTGAGACCCCACTGTGGGTCCTAAAACTCCAAATGTTGGATCGTTAGAGGATTTCCAGAAATTAAATTTAGTTTAAAACTGACTAAGAATGTTTCTGCTAAAGTTATATATGGATAAAAACAAATGGTCTATCAGCAGTATTTTAATACTTTTTTGTCATTTGTGTTTATTATGAAATTGGTCTTGAATTTAATTTCACTTGGCATTAAAAAATCTTAAAAGGTCTTACATTTAACGTGCTTTAAACTGTAGGAACCCTGTAAATGTTATACTATTTATTAAAAAAACAAACAAACATCTATGTTTTTTGTCAGATTCCCTCCACAGC